GTCTAGGAGGATTCTTGGAGGAGGTTGATCATGATAGAACCTTGAAGCAATCAGAGATGGAGTTTAGTGCATTGTAGAACAGGGGGTTTTACTTTGTTGTATCTAAATTCAACTCTGGATTGTCTTGTAATGGTTTATGTTATATTGGATTAGCTTCAATCTAGACGGAGTCCCATGGATGTAGGCTAAAAGTGTTTTTAGCCAAACCATGTATCTCCTTGTGTGCTTTACATTCCTTGCTCATGGGTGTTTGATTTTATTGGTGCTTTGTGATCATCTTGCTAATTAGTGTAACGCCGTGCATGATAAAGAGTTGAACAAACTCTTTCACACAAATTGAATTGAAGCTCAAATTATACTTAAAACTTATTAGCTAATTTGCAATTTATTATGTAAATTAAGCTTTTTTTTTTAATTCATACTTTAAACATAAATTTAAAAAATTACTACAAGTTACAATTTTGAATTATTCTAAAAAAAAAATGTTTACTTATATAATAAAAGTATTCTATTAAATCTCAAATGATGTGAAAATTGGTTTATCAATACGTATTCATGAGTGATATTTATTATGACAAATTAATTGAGACATCGTTAGGATACAGAGTTGTCATTTTTATTTCGTAATTGTGGTATAAATAAAAAGGAAAATAGAAAAAATTTGTAATTTTCGTATTTAAATTAATTTTTCAAATTATTATGGCATTAGTTATTTATGAAGCTTGTAACTGTTTATTGTAGTCATAGTCATTAATTTTAAACCAAAATATATGTATGAAGGACTAGAATCTTTTATCTCGTCGTGCACCTAACCATTAACAGATACTACATCAAACATTTTCAAAAATAATTCATTTAAGGTATACATTCCTTTATTTCTATCTAAATAAGTCTTTCTATCCCACCAGAGATTCTTTAAAGATAAATTTGAACTTACTTCCTCAGTCCTCACATATTCTTATTTCATTCTTTTTCATGTTATTCTGATGTAATTCAGAAGAAGTTTATAGGCAATGAAATAAGTTGTTTTACGTGTACTTCTTTATCTTTGAACGTTTTTATTGTAATTTTATTATGGTCATTTCATACTTTTGCATGTAAATTGGTGATGTAATTCAAAAGAAATTTATAGGTAATGAAATAAGTTTATGTATGTTTAATTCTCCATATTTGAACCATTTTCTTCTGGTCATTGATAATTCGCATAAATGTTTTTGTTTTTACAAGTTACACCTAACGAATGTCCACCCTTCAATTTTCTGCTATCTCGATTGCCATTCATGGAAAAACCTACTCCGGTCACCTTTTTAAAGTGCGTTTTGTTATAGCTTAAGACTTAATCAATTAATTTTTAAAACTACAGAAATAAAAGTGTTTAATAAGAGTAACACTAGCTTTACAAAGAGGCATACAAAGAGATAAATCCAGCCCTTAAAAGAAGGAAAAAAGAGAGAGAGAGGGAGGCAATCATAAATTTTAAGGGTTGGATTTGTCTCTTTGTAAGGCTGGTATTACTCTAAAGATTTATAGTATGATTACTTAATTCGCTATAACATTACATTATAGTATGATCACATAATTAATTATAACATTACATAATTAAATAATTACTTAATTGATTATAACATTATATTATAAACATTAGTAATTACTAATTTACTACATAAACATTAGTACAATACTTAATTAAATGATTAGAAATTTAATTAATTATAACATTACATTATAAATTTATAGTACGATTACTTAATTAATTGTAATATTACATTATAATTAAATGATTATTTAATTAATTATAACATTCTATTATAAACAAATTAATTATAATATTATATTAAAGATTTATAGTATAATTACTTAATTAATTATAACATTACATAATTACATAGGCTCCGTTTGGTTAATTATTGGGTAGTTTTTACTTTTTAGAATAATCTTTTGAAAAAAGTTAAATTTGGTGGGTATTATGTAAAAATTAACCTAAATATCCCCTATGTTTATTTATTTACTAAATAGCCCTAAATAAAATGTTCAAAATTAACAATCCACATCCAAAAACATGGACAGCCGGCCACCACCGCTGGAGGGTGGTCGGAGTTGCCGTATCGACGTATAATCGTCACGATATCGCCGGTTGTACGCCGATATGACCTTTTCCGGCTAGATCCACCTTGGATCTGGCCGGAAAAATTCAGATCTATGGCTAGATCTGGCCTTTGAAGGCTAGATCTGGCTGCATTTGGTTGTCAATGACAGCCAAAGATACGGTCGTCGTTGATAGTCAACGACGACCATATCTTGGTCGTTAACAACCAGATCTTTAGCCGTAGATCTAGACTTTTCCGGCCAGATCCAAAGTGGATCTGGCCAGAAAAGCCTACATCGGTGCACTACCAGCCAGATTCAGCCGGTAGTGCGTCATTACACCAGATTCAGGCCAGTTTCCGGTAGTGATGGCCGGAATCTGGTAAATTTGGGTTACTGGGGTGATTTTGTCAACTTTCAAAAAAAAATTTGGGGGTTGTTTAGTTAAATTAACAAATTTAGGAGGAATAACGGAAGTTGAATAATTTAGAAAACTATTTTTAAAATAGGTGAAATAAAGTTAACTTTTTTGGAAAAACTAGAAAAGTTTTCCCAATATGTGAACCAAACGAAGAGATGATTATTTAATTGATTATGATATTATATTATAAACATTAATTATAACATTACATTATAAACAAATGATTACTTAATTAAATGATTATAAATTTAATTAATTAAGCATTATATTATAGTTAAATAATTACTTAATTAAATTATAACATTATTACATTACATTATATTATGATTACTTAATTAATTATAATATTATATAGTTAAATGATTACTTAATTAGTTATAAATTTATAACATTACATTATAAATATTAGTAATTTACTACATTATTACGTTACTTAATTAAATGATTAAAAATTTAATTAATTATAACATTACATTATAGAGTTATAGTATGATTACTTAATCAATTATAACATTCTATTATAAACATTAGTATATTAATTAAAAATTAGAAATTTAATTAATTACAATATTAAATTATAAATTTATATTATGATTACTTAATTCATTATAACATTACATTATAGTATGATCACATAATTAGTTACAACATTATATAATTAAATGATTACTTAATTGATTATGACATTATAATATAAACATTAGTAATTTATTATATAAACATTAGCACAATACTTAATTAAATGATTAGAAATTTAATTAATTATAACATATTAACATTACATTATAAATTTATAGTACGATAACTTAATTAATTGTAACATTACATTATAAATTTATAGTACGATTACTTAATTAATTGTAACATTACATTATAAACAAATGATTACTTAATTAAATTATTACGTAATTAATTATAACATTATTACATTACATTATATTATGATCACTTAATTAATTATTGCATTACATAGTTAAATGATTACTTAATTAATTATAAATTTATAATACTACATTATAAACATTATTAATTTAGTACATTAGTCATTGGTACAATACTTAATTAAATGGTTAAAAAATCTAATTAATTGTAACATTATATTATAAATTTATATTATGATTACTTAATTAATTATAACATTACATTGTAAACATTAGTATAATATTTAATTAAATAATTAGAAATTTAATTAATTATAACATTATATTATACATGTATAGTATGTTACTTAATTAATTATAATATTACATTATAATTAAATAATTACTTAATTAATTGCAATATTATTATATTACATTATAAATATTAACAATTCATAACATTAAATTAACAATTTGCAGATGAATAATTGTTTGTCTCTTGGTTTTGATTGAGAAATTTTATGTGAATTGTGATGAATTGATTGAATTCAAGTGTTGCCTAGAGATTAGAGGATTTATGAGTTACAGGGGACACAGATAAATGAGTAATCAAAATTTGTTAGGGGTGTATTTGTAAACTTTTAAGGTATTTTTGTCATTTTTTAAACTAATAGGGGGTAATTAATTTTTTATAGGGTACCTGGGAAAGGAATTGGAACCTGCATTTTAGGTTCCGGTTCCTTGAATTTAAGAACCTGCACTGTGCGGTTCTGGTTCCGGTTCCTTTTTTTGGGAACTTGCACTATGCGGTTCCGGTTCCCCCGAAAAATATAGGGTATCCTGAGCCGCTCACCCATTTATAATATATTTATTAGGTTATAAGCAATAAAAAAAAAAAAATTTAAGTTATAATTGTTTCTTCTCTCTCTCTCTCTCTCTCTCTTTTTAATTTTTAATTTTTTAATGTAGGTAGTTGGAAAAATAAAATTGAAATTTCATGTGCACAAATGAATAACATAACTTTCTATTATTAAACTATGCAATAAAATTATTTACATTTTTAAATTTCATGTGCACAAATGAATAACATAACTTTCTATCATTATACTATGCAATAAAATTATTTACATTTTTTAGTTGTAGCGGATTACTTATCTTTAAATATATATCTTTTTAATTTTATTTGAACTTTTAAATTGAACATAAAAATTGTGTTTTAGGTTTAATGGTTGGAGTAAATAACATAAGTGAAGCTAATGAAATATTATTTTAAACTAAAAAAATAAATGATTTTTATAAACAATAATATTATACTTACAAATAAATCTTACAATGATCCCTATATAAAATAAGATGGCAAAAAATGAATGAAAGAGTGGAACAAAAAGTCAAAATCATTATATTTACTTTTCCATTCATTTTTTATCATATCACTTTATATAGAGATCTTTGTAAGATTTTTTTATAAGTATATCATTACTCTTCTATAAAATTTTTGGGGTGCCATCAAAAATAAATAAATTTTAAAATTTCCAAGTGAAATATTTTAAGAGGCCGCATTTCTTTAGTTTGAATATGGGCCTTAATAAAGCCTAATAACGGTCCAATAAAAAGTCCACTGAAAGTCGCACCACCAGCTTATTCAATTCATCGGCTCTAGTAGAGTAACAATGGAGGAAAGGGAGAAGCAATCGACAAAAGAAGCTTCGGAAGAGGTCTCTCAAGAGTTCAAAACTCTAATCAAAGCGGAAGATTTGAATTCCCTCAAGCAATTGCAGTATCTCATGTAAACATCTCCTCTCCCTTTCCAAGGATTGTTCAATTTGAACAAAAACCTAATATAGATGTTTAGGCTTGTAATTCAATTTTTATTCATGTTAAATTGTAGATTGGGAAGGTTACAGGACAGCAACGCGGTTCTTTCTCATTTTAATGAGTATTCAGAGCACTGCTTTGATGAGGTTTCTGGTGATTTTTCAAGAAATGCTCGTCTCTTGAAGTCTATGAAAGGAGATCTTGATTACATATTTCAGAAGCTAAGGTACTACCAATCCATGTTTTAACTTTTGAATTTTAGTAATTTGACTCAGTTCTTGTAATTAGTTGTTTGCAATAGGATTTAATTTTCAACTAAAAGCATTAGGTAATTTGAAATGTGCAGTAAGATAATAGTTTCGACTTCGGATTTGATGCTATATATATATATATATATATATTGCATGCTGGTAGCAGTTGAATGAGAAGTAGCCAGTTCCAAACTATTAATTGCTCTGTCATGGCTGTTTTTTTTTTGCAAGTGAAGAAGTAGTAACATATCATTTTCATTCCAGAGAAATTTTTGCTCTGTGCTGCTGTCTTCTGAAAAATGAGCTTGGAGACTTGCACATGTAGCCATAGGCATTTTTGGGAAATGGTAAATAGACGGAAAAGAACTTGTATTGATGACATCAAGTTAGGTATTCCCGAAAAACAGGGGTGAGCTGATTTTAGGTCAATTAGCTTGTAAATTTTAGAAAACTAAATAGCTGTAGTTAGCTTTATTTTAAGGTGTGAGACAGGTCTATGCAGTAGTGGATCCAGAAATTCTTGTCAGGTGGGCCAAAATAAAATGTAATAGTATATAATATTCATATTCTATGTTTTTAGTTGAAATTGACATAAAAAGAAAAAAAATTACATATAAATATATTATTTTTTTTAAATTTGAGGATGGGCCATGGCCCACCCTCAATATACTCTAGATCCGCCCCTGGGTCTATGGATTAAATGCTATGTCAAGAACACATATGTATGCAAAAATTTGTAGACTTTTGGGGTATTGACATGCTATTATTCATCTGTTACATAATTTTTCTATCTTATTTCATTTTAACTAAGGCTCTGTTAAATTTCATTGAGGTACTTTCGACTGAGTGTCTTATCTGGCCTTTTGATTTCGTACTTCCTTTTAACTTGTTTGGTCTCTGTAAAGGCTTGATGATAGCTTATTGTCAAACATAAATATGTTTTAGCTATCCCAGCGTCTCCCCTACGCCCAAATGAACTTAAATGTTTTGTATGGTATTTGCTTCAATCAAGAACTTAGCTGTTCATTATGAAGTTAAAATTGTTTACATTTCTTATGGAATCTTTCTATTTGTATTTTCATTTTAGATAAATTGTATTTTCTGATAAGGATCTCTCAGTAGTTCAGGCGTTGATGCAGATTAATGCTTACATCTTATTTATGTTTCATTTCTTGTTCAACACTCAGGGGCATGAAGGCGAAAATCTTGGCTACTTATCCAGATGCATTTCCCGACGAATCAACGAGAGAAGCACTTGATCAAAGACCAGACCTTGAATTGCCTCAATAACTCCTCTACTTCTTGTCTCCAACATGTAACAATCTTATGTCTTAGAACAGAAACTTTGGAGGAAAATAGCATGTTAGGCTTCTTCTTCTTCTTCTTCTTCTTCTTTAATTGCTCAAATGCATTTTGATTTATTTTTTTCATGAGTCCATACTGCGAGGACTTGTACCTAAACTACATAGAAGATGTCTTTACTGAACTTTGATTGCATGTGATTAAAAATAATAGAAATGAAAAAAAAAAAAAAAGAAAAGAAGATGGAACTAGCTCTAATTGTTCTAGTCTAACAAAGTCTGTCTAGTTAAATATTTTGTGAAAGTATCTTACTTAAGGAGAAAGTTATTAAATGTAAATTAACAAGGAAGCTGTTTGATTTAAATTAACAAAAAAAGAGTGATTAACAGGAGTCATTTTCAAACTATTCTCTGCTCGTACTTGTAATCTTGAGTTCAGAAATCATCTGCTCAATAAAAATCGGCAGTTGAGTTGATTAGTTTATCTGGGTTCAGTTTTTTAGACTCACAGCACAATAGTCATATTCTAAACTTCAAGTCCTAACCCATACTTGCAAGGTAACTACTTAACAAAACCCTCTTCTGCATAACGCAGAATTGAGATGGAAGAAAGATGGCAACTGATATGGCAAAAACCTGAAACAAAGTCTCATGTAAATGGATCAGTATTCCTTTTATCATTATACACTGAAGGCTGCAGCAAACATCATATATTTGCTGTGAGTACGTGTTTCAACAATCATACATGTCTTAGCAGTGTTATTCATCCACAATTCTTCGCTTTTCAGTAACCATTTATGCACCACGGTGAACAGATCACGAGCTGTTTTGCCTTTTGAAATTTTCCTTTCTCTAATTGAAGACAAAAAGGAAGAATAATAAAATTTTACATTAAACCACAATTGTTCTCGAATCACGATGCATTTCCAGAGCTGCACCAGTATATCTGATCTTTATCTTCAAAAGTCACTAACAATTCCTTAACGGAGTCCATTTCATGTATTAAACTGAATATATTGGCGTGATGACGCAAAAAGGCAATGTGCAATAGGCTTTCTTTATTTTCATAATTTAGTTCACTACTTTATAAGATACCCCATTCAAGAATTCCGAATTCAGCTGCATCCAACAACAAGAGTGAAGGTCTTCTGATTAGATGTGTAACCTCCAAGTCATCTCGTTTTAAGATTTCTTCCCAAATAAGTTTGACAAGCTGAAGGTCTTGAGTTGGATTTGTGCTTGCAAATGCAGGAGGGTTTTACAGTTTGTCTTGCTATTGTTGCAGTATGAAGAAGAGTTTCAAATTTCCTTGTAAGATTAGCACAGAGAATTGATCGAGGATTCTGTTCTAACAGGTTTTAAACACTTGTTCAATCTCCTTCTAATGCATGCAGCCTTATAAGGAGATACGAAACCAAATTCCTTTATTCTAAAAAATATTTTCAATCGTCTCAATATTCTTAAAGGATAACTAAAGTTTATGCCACAAAGTTGTTTTTATTCTTATTAATTCTTAAATAGTATGATTCATTTAATCTATTTATGAGCCTTTCATTGTCACTACAAGAATTTAGGCTTCTCACAACAAAATAATTTGTCACTATAAATATCAAAATTGTAACAATTTCTCTAATATGAGGAATTATATTGGTAACCAGGTTGGTCATATTAAGCTCGTACTCTTAAGTGTATGGTGACGAAATAGCGTTTGGTCACCATAACCTAATGATTTATTGTGACAATAATAATTTGTCATTTTAAACTAATTTATTGTAATAAATTATTTGTAACAATAGAAAACAATTTTTATCACTGTAAGTAATATTTTGTCACAATTAATTTACATTTAAAGACCAAATGATAAGCTTTATGATGAAAAAATCATATATTATGACAAAATTGATTTTGTCAAAATTGTGAATGATGACTAAATTATTTGGTCATAATTTTAATAGAAACAGAAATTTATTTGTCATTAGCTTTATTGTGACAACATTTATTTCATCATATGTTTGTTTATATGACAATATTTTTTGTCAAAATTTGTATAGTGACAGAAATAATTTTGTAAAAAATTTAATAGCATAACAAATAATTTTTGATACAAATATTTTTACATGACAGATTTTTTATTGTCAAAATAATATAAGCTTGACAAATATTTTTTGGCATCTCAATAATGATAAAAATATTCATGTCTGTGCTTCTAAAATGTGACGAATCTTTTTCGTGAAAAGAATATTCAAGTGAAAAAAAAAAAAATTATGGGGAAATTAAAATCGTGATAAATTATATTTATCAAATTTTGTTAATACCGACAGAAATATTTTTGTCAAAAAATGAAAAGTGTAGTGACAAAAATTTAAGTCATTAAATTTTGAGACCTTATATAATTTTTTTGTTAATATTAAAAGTGACAAAAATATCTTGTCAACAATTTAAAAGAGTAACAAAAGTTATTTTATATTAAGAGTGACAAAAGTATCTGACAATTTTATATATACATTTCACATTTAATAAATAAAATTATAAATAATTACCCCATCTTTTTTTCCACATGAAACGTGCAGCTATTACATTATCAAAACTATGAATCCATATATCACTTTTAACTTAAGATAAATTATATCAAGGAAAATTTATTAAAATATATAAATCAACAACATTATAATTTTAATAATTTAACACATAAAGCTAAAGATAGTCTACTACAACTATTTATTGATATAAATAAAAGCATTCATGTGTTGATGCCCCTTCTTGATAATTTTTTCATTCTAACAAAAAAAAAAAAAAAAAAAAAGGTCAAAGGGATATATATAGAGAGAGAAGGAGAAAAAATAACAACAACCTCTATATAATATTACATTAATGACTAAAAGCTTTTAATTAAAACATAATTTTCTTTATTACGTTTATTATATTAAAAAGTACATGAAGAAAAAAACTAAAAAAATTATTAAGACTTATTAATTAAGTAATGATTTTACTAAGTAATGATTTTACCTTCGGAGGAAATAGAACCATCTTGTCCACTCCTTTGTTGGCTTATCAATTCATCAACCTTTGACGCGAGGTTTTCATGAGATTCTTGTAAAGCATTGATTATCGCCTGTTGATTTTGTATTTGCTCATATTGATCTTGTATTTGCTCCTTCAATTGACCATTTCGTTGTTCGAATTCGATTTTTTCAACATGTAAAAGAGCCTCTAATTTTGAACTTCTATTTTGGTTTACCCCCAAAACTTTCTCTAAAATTTCACGTCCAGTCATATCAATATCCTCCTCTATCGCTTGTGAGTGAATTACTTTCATTTGCTCCTATTAAACAAAAAAAAAAAAAAAAGAAGATAATAATAATCATTTATAACTACTCTATAATTATTGAAGACGGCCTAAAAATAATCTATTAAAAAAAAAATAGTCAAGTCTGAAATTACTTACATAATTTTCTTGGCTTGTGGGTGGATCCATGTGTCATCATTCTTTCGATGTGTTTCATAGTAAACCTTCATTTCAATAGGTTCCTCATCCCTTTCTTCTACATATTTTCCAAATTTTCATCCACGGATCTCTCTATATTTTCCTATATTTAAAATTGACATTTAAATTATAATTATTGAAATTGAATATAAAATTAAATATGATAATAAATATATTATATAGATATATACTTAAATATCTCCAATTAGAGAGAAACGACATTGCTAATCAGAGAATAAAATCCAGAGAGATTGAAGATGAAGTGAGAAAAGACGATTAAAAAAAAAAAAAAAAGAAGCAATATTTGCATTAAGAGAAATGATAAAAGTGGAGAAAAGAGGGACTTACAAAGAAGTTTCACTAAGAACGATGAAACAAGATTTGGGGGCGTTCCTAGTAAAAGCAAAAAAGAATAGTTGGTTCTCAAATTTATAAATTCTATAAAGACAAGAGCGAGAGAGAGAAAGAGAAAATGAAAAAGGTGAGTTGAGAGTTTTGACGAGACAATGGTAAAATAAAATAAAAAAACAAAAGAAGATGAAGGGTCAATAAAGAGGTAATTAGGAAATATATTTAAAGTATGAAATATGTTTAAAAATAAAATTCAATTTTTAATTGTATATATATAATTGACTTAAGAAAGATATTTAAAATAGAAAGGATACTTAAGTATTGTTTAGAATTTTAATTGTATATTTACAATTGAATTAAAATAGAAAAGATGTTTAAAATAGGAAAACTATTTAAAAATAGTTTAAAGCTTTAACTTTTATATATTCAGGAGAGAATTAAAAAACAAAATTGCCGCCTCCTTATAAATTGCCTCCAAAATTTTTACTTTCTAATTCTACTCAAATCGTGTTTGTCTTCTTCTTCTTTATACCCTTTTTATTTCTATTTTCATGACACCCCTGCTTTTTTCTTAATACTACGATAATGCTATCTTTGTCCAAAACAAATTCATTTATTACACTGAAAAGAGATGACTATTGATATTTTTTATATAAAGTTTCCATTGTTCACCTATAACAACTATTACCATGTATACACTTTAATTTAATTTTTTTTTTTAATAAAAACGAGGTAAGACCTTTTGCACATACAAAAATATACTTGAAATATTCATTTTTCTTGTTATAATTTTTGGAAATAATTTAAATCTTTATGATATTACGTTTTATAACTTATACTAAAATTATTATCTCAAGTAATAACTATAATGTCTTCTGATGTAACATCAACTTATTTAAAAAAAAAAAAAAAGAGTAGAAAATATAATATTATACCTTCTATTTTAATATATTGCCTTGATCGTATATATTAAAAATATATATTGAAATTAATGACAATTTTTTTGGTAACACTAATGGGAACTGTGTTTATTTGTTATAGTAAATTAAATACTTTGATGTAATCAAAAATCTTTATAAAAAGTATAATATATGTTAAAATTAATGACAATTTTTTTGATAACATTAATTGATATATACATTTAGGAGGTGAGTGGGGGACCACCGCTTAATCCCTGAATGAGTCGTTGTATACAAACAATCCGTCAAGGCTAAGAAAGTAGGGGTGTTCGGTTCAGGGTATCCTACATTTTTTGAAGGAACCGGAACCGAAACTAGAACCGACGGTTCCTTGAAATTTGGA